ATTTATATTATCAAATGTGCTCTTTATTAATGAACAGCAAGTTATCTGTGATTCGCATGATTCGTTTGTTTTATTTCTTGTTAAAGGACATTAACATACATAATATATTTACATTAAACTTAAACTTTTTACATTGATACCACTAAATTCTTTGCATATCACATCAAAAAACACCATTGTTTTGACTTTTAAGAACTGAATTATACCTTTTCATGCATGGATCATGTAGCACATAAGTAAAAAAATTTGATGTTTGCGTTAGATATGTAAATAGATAGGAACTGAGTGGTATTTATGTAAATCATTTGTTAATGATCAATGTTGAAGCATAAATTTAATACAATGAACTTAGATTAGATCACATTATTTTTATAATTCTTCAAGATGATTAATGTTTAGGGTCATGTTGCTACGTGCTATGTAATACTTCCTTAATGAATACTTGCAAATAATTCATTTAGATTGTTTTGGGTATAGATTTTGCCATTATATCTATTTGAATTTTGTTAGGCAGAATGAATCTAGCATTTGAGAAGCTTGTCTTGGACTAGTTTAATTAGAGCTTGTTTATGGTCATTTGATTATTTAATTAATTAGAACTTGTTAATTTATCGGTTAATTTATTTATTCATGAACAATTATCATTTAAAGCTTTTAAACAAATTCATTAAGAAGCTTGGCAGGTTTTAATTAAGAGCTGATGTGACTTGATTAAGTCATTTATATGTAGTACAATCTAAATAGTTATTTATTAGCTTAAAATCGTAGAATATTTAGCAAAAAAGTTGCCCCAATAAGTCTCAATTCCTTACCAGGCCACTTGAGAGTTTCTAAGTTCTATTTTCTAATGATATCAACAAGATTCGGTTAGTGCTTTGAATTTGGTTCGAACATTGTTAATCGCTCAAAAATTAAATCAAATTTTAGCTTGGATCGAGATCTGATCGAAATAAATAAGCTGACCTATGAACTGAAATTTTGGATCAAATTTTTTTATATCTAATAGGTTTTAAATTTAGTGAGTTTAGCTCAAAAATTGATAATCACGGTCAAAAATTCATTCAAATTTTGGCTCGATACAAGCTGATTAACATCCCTAGATTCATTTGAGATGATTTTCAACGTTTTCAGCTTGCTACGCCTCTACTGATCAGCCCGGATGAGAGAGTTGCAAGAGAAAAAACCAAAATCCTTACAACAGAAAAAAAAAACAAATTTCATATTATCATTATTTCATATATATATCATCGTTTCCCTTTCTTGCATACCTTAAAAATGGGGGCAAAGTATTTCATGAGAAAATTAAAATATAAAATCTATAAAAATTTAAAGGAAAATTAATTTTATATGATTTTCATAATTAAAAATAACCTTCGATAGCGTTTTGTCCATCGCTACTTCTGAATATGTTTACCTCAGGAATACTGATGCATCAGTACTCTAATAAGGAGGTGTCTCGTGGTACTGATGCATCAGTACTCTAATAAGGAGGTGTCACGTGAGCAATATGATGGGACCATTGCATATGTGGCACCTCATCATTGGAGTACTGATGAGGTAATATTTTTTCCTTCGGATAGTGGTCTCAAGCCTCTCAACTGAGGCTATTATAAAAAGGAATAAAAGCTGCGCAAAATAAAAAACTTATTTTTGGACAAAAACATAAATGGCACATATTATCCAACATTTCCCCGCACCAAAATCATTTCATTCATCAATATCACTACCATCAACATCTTCATCCCCATCATCACTGCAATATGTGTCTACTTCATCCCCTGGATTTGCTAGAGTTTGCTGAAAGTGGCTGATGAAAGATTTAGCATCAGACATGAGAGCCATCTTCGCCACTTTCAGAGCAGGCTTGCCAAAACACCTGCTGTTGCCCAAATCATCAAAATTTGATTTTTTAGCAAGCCTTGCCCTCCGGGCTTCTCTGTGATGCAGCTGGTCAATATATCTATCATGCAAAGCTCTATTCTTTACCGGCTTCAAAACTTGGGGACTCGGACCCTCTGGTAAACTTAATAGTTTCAGCCTGGACAGCATCTTTGAATTAGCTGATGATTTCTCACCGAGCTGCTGAGAAGAACAAGGAGAAATTGAAATGTTGATTGGGGGAGATTCCAGAAGAGAGAAATGGTCTGCTGCTTTTATTTGATCGGCAAGGCTGTGCTTCCTTAGCAGATGCCTCAGAGTCTTATGTGCGGCGAGCTTCTTCGTTCTGTATCTCTTGAGCCTTCCAAATTTTGTGTCTGAAATTTGTGGTAACAAATTCAAGTGAGGTATTGGAGAGACGCTTTTCTTCCTCGTCCTTGGCCGAGGTTGATGGGAAAGTGGGGTTAATATGCTGGAATGGATTTTATCAAAGCATTCCTGAGCAGATTTTCCTGGCACCTGCAGTTTTAGTTAGCACTTAGTTGACATGTTAAGGCACCAATAGATAATAGGAAGATATACATACATACCACTTAATTCCCTATGTGTTTACATATGTAAAACCTAAACTCCACAATTTTTACATAAATCATATTTGTCATCTTATCTATGCATGAAAAAGGTGGTGTTTATTTTTTATGTTATATGATATGAGGATACATGTCTCATAACACACATCCCCAATACAAGTATAAACATGTTAAACACTTGCATAATTCGCAAAAAATTTATACTTCGAAGATGCAAGAACACTAAAAATTTATCCACATCATTGCAGCCACACCAATCTTCAGCTACCACTCAATGGCTTTATTTTCTTATATTGCAAGCTAAACCAACCAATTTGTTGCTATCTTTGTATGTGCATCTTCCTTGGGCTCACATAAAAACTTGCCAAACAGCTCTGTAACTTTATAAGACAAAATGTTTAGGCCTTGTTTGAGATTATTTTTATTTTTTACCTTGGTTTATAAAAACATGTTTATTTAGTGAAATTTTGAAAGTTTATTCATTTTTTATTTTTTAAAAGTAAACATACTTGCTTTTAGAAACATTGAAAATAAAATTAGGTGCTTTGAGTATTTTTAAAAACTACAGCACCACCAAGCATGTTATTTCAAATCAAGACATAAATGAAATAAAATTAAATAAAATAAAAAAGAGAACAAAATAATCCCAAAAGGCCCCTTAAGAAATGGTTTGTTTGTTTACATTAGCTCTATTTGAATATCAACTGACACTGCATGTATGCTTTTTTTAAGATAATAAATTATACTTTATATTCATTTTAATACACACACACACACACACATTTTGACTTCTCATATCCTTTCATTACACTGTATTTGCAAAGATCTGTGCTTCTAAAATTTAAAAAACACGAACGGGCCATGCTAGCATGGATTTCAACTACAATATATTCCTTATCAATAAAATTGCATTATAGATTTCAAACTTTCAGCACTTTAGCAATTTGATTTTCTGCCGTAAGGTGAAACGTATGGAATATGAACCTGCTTGATAGAAATTATTTTAAAATTTTGGTTGGTTGTTATGTAAAAAAGCCCTATCTTTTAATTTGACAAAGAACTTCTCAAGCGTGCCAAAACATGAGGCATGCAATAATGAAGCAATGAAGCATCAATATGTTTATGTTTTCTTTTTCTAATGAAATCTTATCAAAATAATAATAGTACTAATTTTGTTAAACCAAACACACTTTTTGCTTTTACAAATTTATTGCAAGAACTCTTTTTTCAAAATTTGGTAAGGGGATGATGAAAAAACAATAGTAATTGTAGTTTCTGATCTAGTTTTATTATTAAGAACATAGGGGAATCACTTCAGAAACTACTTTGCAAAGCAAGCAGAGAATTTTGGCAGCCATGAAAGCATTGAAAAATAATAGCCATTAATTATATCATAATGACTAATTTATTGGTTACAGATTATGACAAAACAATAGATAAAACTCAATTAAAAAAGAAATGAAAGAGCCATACCATACCATTCTAGAAACTTTCTTCCAAAAATGGGGAGATGGTTTCGCCATGAAATAGGCTTTCTGTAGTGCTTCTTCTTCTTCATTGGTCCATGCTACCATACCACAACATTTTTCATTCTCTGCTTTTCCAATCCTATTCTCCATTCCATTATCTTCCTCCATTTTGCTCCTGTTACCATCCTTTACAATGCTTTCTGAAAGCAAGTCTCCCCTATTAGCATGAACCCTTCCAACAACCTCCTCCCCTTTAACTGTCGTCTCCAAGCCGACTCCACTCTTGATCACTCCATTTGATGCTGCCAAAAGCTTAGGGGATGACCTTCTGATCTGAGAGCTCACAGGTTTGCGTTTATTTTTGGGTTTCACTTCAAGAGGTTTCCTATGTTCTACTTCATCAATAGTTTTAGGGTTTACAATCCTTTCCTTCACATTTTCCACAGAGACAGGAGCTACACCGAGCAGCCTCATAGACCGTCGCCTTGGCTTCGCATCTAGAAACCCCTGCTGGATTTCAGAAACTTTCATTTCAGTTTGCGAAGCTAACCTCGGAGATCGCCTAGGGCCACTCTGTGTGTGTTCAAGAACTACACCGGCCTTCAACCTTGACCGCTTAAGCTGACTTCTCCCGCAAAGCGCTGCCCTGATCTTTCTGGAAGAAGCTTCCTCCTTCAATTTGAAAGCAACGGAGGGAGATCCCGGATGGATTTCTACTTCTTTCAGGCAGATGATTGATTTCTGCGAAGAAAATTCTGGTTTCAACCCTTCTGGTGGAAGCAATCGGGCAGATCGCCTGAGAGGGGCTTGATTAGCTACAACTCTGGCTCTACTACTTATACCCGATTTCATCGACACTGTTGAATAGCCGGTTTTAAACAGGATTTAAGCTAGATCCTGTGAATCGGCGGATTTAGTAAATCCGGGACGAGCGAAGAGGAAGAATGGCGCAAACAGGCTTGCCTTCTTTTCTGGTATGAGCGGAGTGGAAGGATGAGAAAAATGGTAGTTTCGGTGGTATCTGTAAGCCGCGATCCCGTCGTTTCCTTCCCAGCTGGCTCTAATGGCGACTTTATCACGAAAGTTCGTTCACGAAGGAGGAGTCATGAGCTAGGGTTTTGCGCAGGATGGGATGTATGGTCGAAACAGTAGATGGGCTTGACGTTTTAATTTATTCTTATTTAACTTAATTTTATTATTTTAATTGATTAATAATTAATAAATAATTTATATCTTATCAAATTAATGATAATTAAATAAATTTATATGTAATTAGTTGATTAAAAATATTTATTATCATAAAAAATAAATACATAAAAATAAACATGAAGCCAACAATGTTGATCAGGCCAGTTCTTGGTATAGACATCAACACTTTCATCCAAAACTCAGCCATGGAATAAATAAGGCATCTTTAACATGGAATATAATATAATAATATGAGTAAAGACCTTAATAATTTCATTAATAACCTAAATCATGATCTTATAACAGAACATAAAAGATAAAAAAGCAGAGGAGCCACATGGCCAACATCATAGTTTTAATATAAGAGCTGAAGCCCTGAATTTGACCGACTTTCATGAGGGAAGATGTGAACTTTTTCCAAAATAGAGATAAAAGAATCTTTTTTGAGTTGACTTTGGTTTGAAGTTAGAAGAAGATGATCGGTGAGACAGAAGAGAAAGAGTCAAATCTTCTGCAATCCGAAGGGAAAGTAAATCTTCTGAGTTACATTTACAAAAAAGGAAGCATTTTTAATCTTATTACATTAAAAAAAAAGGATAATTGTGTAAAACATGATAATTTACAGGAAGGAAGAGTTGATGAACAATCTAAAACCAGATGTAAGAATTTCTCAGTAGGAGTAGACAGAAACTGCAGCGTAGCGGCGAGGGGGGGACGAAGAAGAAGAAGAAGAAGCTGGGATCCAGAAGGAGTGAGAGCAGAAAGAAGGCAGCCATGATCAACAGAAATCCCTTTAACATGATGGCGAGTACAAAAGCCACCAACACTACAGCCATTAAGTCAAGAAGAAAATCTCCCACCGATCCCATTCCTGTCAGTATTCCTCTGAATGATGGAAGAATTGTTGGGTATGGAGGGAGAAGGAAGGCTGTGGGTGATTACAGCTGTGGTATCTGAAGTCAATGGCGAAGGTAGAAGGGGAGAAGGAGCTCTGTGTGCTATAATGGTGGAGCTATGTGGAGCAAATGGTGAAATTATTCTGATGGAGACGTGCGACGGTGATAAGAGAGAAGGTGGCATCACTCTATTAATCTCTGCAAGTTTCTGGAGAGTTCCGTTGATTTTAGTAAGAAATTAATCAACGAATTGTAAGCCAATTATTCGTCCCCTGAGGTGTCTTTCTATTTACTTTTATTTTGAAAATGTCGTCTTTTTGTTTGAAAATTTCATTTGAGCAGTTTATCTAAAAATACAGATGATTTTTTATACTATACACGAAACACAGGTCGCATCCCGCAATCCGTATTTCTAAATGAACAACTTATTTGAATAGACACGAACTACCCCAAACATATCCTAAGAAATGAACTTATGCACCTTTATCAATAATAGGTCGTATTAGAAAGAATATAAATCATAATATAAATGGATGGAGATTGCTTATAGTTCTTCTTATACAAAGTTATATACACATGCAAAATTTTCAAGACTATTTTTTTTTTAGAAAAAAATAAATTTTATAAGAGGTACTTCAAACCAAATTAATTAATCGGTTGGGAATAGTCTTACCGTAGGGGTGTAAGTGAGTCAAATTGATTTGTGAGTTGGGTCGAGCTCGGCTCGATAAGTGGCTCAAGAACTGAGCTCAATGAGTTAACAAGTTAAGCTCAAGCTAGCCTCTACTCGACTTGTTAGCTGGTGAACCGCCTTGTTTTAAACAAGTATTAATAAAAATGTATTTAAAATATATTAAATTTGAAGGCTTTATTTTTAAAGTATTTAAAATATTTAAAAATAATATTTTGTATTTTATATTAAGTGATTTCCTATAATACTACCTTAAATTAGTTTTTTTTTTAATTATTATTTTATAATAAACAAGCCGGCTCATGAGCCAGCTCGAACTCTTAGACTTAAGCTCGAGCTCTAACTCAAACTCAATAAAATTAATCAAGCTCGAGCTTAAGCAGAAGGCGGCTCGAGCTCGACTCGACTCGTTTACACCCTTTGAATATTGTCACCATTTAAAGTGCTGATAATTATCACTTTCTTATAAATCATTTTTTATTACATATTAATTTTCATATAGTTATTTTTGAAAGGTTTCTTTTATAAATAAGTTGTAATCATTTATGATTTTTTTTTTTTTGCATTAATTGATCATATTCATTGTTTAGTCATTTATTACTTAAATAGGATTCAATAATATATCATGATATTTTGTTGTTATTTTTAATGTGATGTGCATTATAAGTTTATATATATATATATAT